ATCTATTTATTGAAATTTAATTAATTTGCTTCGAATTAATGAATGTTAGGGAAAATTCTTTAATTAAAAAAAAAATCTCGAAATTAGTAATTCTCCATGGGAAAAACTAATTTCAACTATTTCTTATTAGTAAAAGAATATTCCATAAATAAATATATGAATCGAATATAAAGGAAAATTGACGATTTGCAATAGCATATAATGAATTAAAATAACACACATTGCATCATTAAAATAAATTAATAGTACATAAACTCAATTTATTTCAAGTATTATGTCGTTAAAATCGTACAGGATCGCACCACTTCGACCAAGTGGTACTTTCTACGCTCATTTTACGAATACGTGTTTGAAACACATTCGGATGCGTAAACCTTTTAATCAAGTACGAGAGACACATAATATTAATACGAAGGCTAATTTAAAATTAAATTAATATGAATGAGAAAATAAATAATGAAATAAGAATATAAACATACAAGGATTAAGAAAAATAATTAAACACACATAAAATATATATACATAAAATATATTATATATATATATATAATAAAAACATATAATAACATAAAAATAAACATATGAATTAAACGGTTTGAACTAGGATAAAAAATGACATTAAAAAAACAAAAGGACAAAATAATAAAGCATAAATATGTAATAAACACCATAATTTCACTTACAAAACCATAACAGTGACCAAAATGGGTTAAAAGTGAAATCTAAGATCTATGATACAAACTCAAAATTTATCTTTCAAAATAATATTTAAGGACTGGAACAAAAGACAAATAAATTCAGGAACCAAATCATAAATACAGATAAATTCACTACTAGACAAATAAGGATAAATGAAATAAATCATGTATTAATAGCCTAAAATAGACATTAAACCAAATTTATATTAAATAACAGATAATGATTAAAATACAAACAATCAATACTTGAAGCTAGAAATTAAAGGATTCAAGTTCTATTCAGTGACTAATATGAAAACTTAAAAAATATGTGCTTAAAGTAAAATATCAACATACACATATTTAATATAAAGCTAGGACTAAAATACAATGAAAATAAACATGAGGCCTGAAGTCAAAGATTTCAAAATTTCATTAATGACCAGTTACAGAACAATACAAACGTGGGGGACTTAAACTGAGATTTACCCCTTTATGCAAAAATGCCTAGCCTCCCCTTGTTGAAACGGTGTCGCATAGCCTCCCCTTGTTGAAACGTTGTCGCACAACAGATGGTATTTAACCATCTTTATAGGGTTATAAGAACCCTAAAATCATTTCATATCTTGGCCAAAAAATAAAAGAGAGAAACTCTCCCCCAAACCCACGAGCAGCGCCGCCTCACGGCGTTTCCACTGCGTTCTCGATGGTTAACACACAAAATAACCACCCCAGATTACTTTCTTGCTTCTTATAACCTAAACCCCAAAAATCTCAACCTAAAAACTAAACCCTCAAGACAAAGGGATTACTTGGCTGCTTAAGACGGATCTTTCAGCTTCGGTGAGCAGGTCAATGGTCTCAAAGGTAAGGCTTTTTCGTTTCTATTTTTTGGTTTTATCGATTTAAAAACTTTATTTTCTTCTCGGTTTCTTTAAAAAATCTATCTCCTTTTCTCTGAAAACCCCGAATGAATCCTCATTTTCTCTCCGTTCTGTTTTTATTTCCCTTTTCTGTGATGGATTTGATGATAATGATATCTAGAATAGGGGTATGGGTCTCACTGATTTTTCAGGATTAAATCCCGTAAAAATCGGGATTTAGGTTATATTTTATTTGGGGTTTCAACTTGGGGTAAGTTTGATACAATGTTGATGACATTTGCTTCATGTGTGACCAGATTGCTGATGACGACCTGGCTCGGGATTCACCATCGGCGGTCAAGCATGGCTGGGAGATGAAAGGCCAAACGACAACGACGACTGGCTGACTAGGGGATTAGGGTTAAAACCCTAATCTATTTTAGGGTTTAAAACCCTAAGTTTTGAATCGGGACGGATCTTGGGTCTGGATCTGGGCTGGTGGGTTGTATATTTGTAATCTGTTTTGGGGCTACCTTGTATCAGATTGGGCTTCAAGCCTGCAAAAAATATAATGTAATATATTAAATAATAATAATAATAAAAAAAACACAATAATAATAAAAAATTAAAATAGAAAAGACCCGGACAAAAACGGATGTCTACAGATTCTTCTGTATGTTCCTCAATGTCTTTGCAGTACCCTTAGACATGGGGCTTCAAACTAGTGCTGATCCTGGTGAGGTTATACTCTCATAGCACTTGCACTTTGGACTCATCCTCTTTGCATTAGTGACCAGAAACATGCAGATGAATTTTCATGCTTTATCTAACCAATGACTTACTTCGGTGAAACTTTGAAACCTATTGACGCTCCAGTGGTCTTCTGGAATTGTCGATGTTGTAAACATACTTAACTTCAATCTCTTACCATTCACTAGAAGAAATGAGGATCAAGAGGAGGACTCCGAACAGAGGACGCAACATTGGGCTTCCCCAGTACCTTAGGAACGAGTAAGACTGTTTGACCAATATAAGTGGTTGGAGAGTGGAGACACACGGTGTTGAAGAAGAAAACTTGGTTCAAAGCCTTCCAAAGGATCTAAGGAGAGATATCAAGAGGAACCTCTGTCTGGCTTTGGTGAAAGGACGAGACTTATGTGGAGCGGAACTTCTAAAGTCAAGTGATCAAATTGAATTTTTTAAAATTTAGTGACCAGTTTTATCGGGAGACTTATGTGGATAGGAACTTCTAAAGTTGAGATCAAATTGAAATTTTTTAAAGTTTAGTGACCAAAACAGGAATCAAGTAAAAGTTGAGTGATGAAATTTGTAGTTTATCCTATATTTATTGGTTTATAGATTAAAATTTGGATTATCTATCAAGTATATTGACGGTGGAAATTTTTTCACAGGCAGGATTGAAATGGTGAAAAATATTTTATTATTTTTTAAATATATAAAGGACAATTAGTATGATTTTAACATAGTGAATTTTGTTTTCATGCTTACGAAATAATAGTCATTTATTAATTTATTTATATAAATATAATTGTAAATGAATTGACTTCCTTCCCAAGGAGAGATACATTAGAATTCTCATCTTTTCCTTTCTTTTATTAATTTTAATTATCCAAAATATAAATATATCCTTCTTTTTTATAATCTTTCAACTTTGTTTTCCTTTCTTTTCTCCGTCTTTATGGAGTATTGTTTATCCATAGGGATTTCATGTTCACTTGTGGCTATAAGCCTATAGGCAGTTGGATGTCGGTGTGGAAACAAATATCAAAAGTCAGGCAACACCGTCCAGTTGACGGAAAAGCTTCACATGACAGAATCAAACGTTAAGATCCCAAAAAATGGGTGGCTGTCCCACCGGCATAAAAGTCAGCCCCAATAAACACGGTGCGTCCTGGTCCTGGTAAGTTGCATGATTGAAATGTCAAAGAGGAGAGAAAAGTACGTTGCCTATGAATGTATTACTTATTCTTCGATTATCACATCAGCAACTACTTTCCCTTTAGAGTTGAGTGTAACCAATACATGCCTTACCAATTTTAAGCTATGGTATCTTTTATTAGCAAGTTAACATCTTCATCCTTCAAGGTCTTCTCTCTTCACCTTTTTTAAATATATAAAGGACAATTAGTATGATTTTACATAGTGAATTTTGTTTCATGCTTACGAAATAATAGTCATTTATTAATTTATTTATATAAATATTTAATTGTAAATGAATTGACTTCCTTCCCAAGGAGAGATACATTAGAATTCTCATCTTTTCCTTTCTTTTATTAATTTTAATTATCCAAATATAAATATATCCTTCTTTTTTATAATCTTTCAACTTTGTTTTCCTTTTCTTTCTCCGTCTTTATGGAGTATTGTTTATCCATAGGGATTCATGTTCACTTGTGGCTATAAGCCTATAGGCAGTTGGATGTCGTGTGGAAACAAATATCAAAAGTCAGGCACACCGTCCAGTTGACGGAAAAGCTTCACATGACAGAATCAAACGTTAAGATCCCAAAAAATGGGGGCTGTCCCACCGGCATAAAAGTCAGCCCCAATAAACACGGTGCGTCCTGGTCCTGGTAAGTTGCATGATTGAAATGTCAAAGAGGAGAGAAAAGTACGTTGCCTATGAATGTATTACTTATTCTTCGTTTATTATCACATTCTCAGCAACTACTTTCCTTTAGAGTTGAGTGTAACCAATACATGCCTTACCAATTTTAAGCTATGGTATTTTATTAGCAAGTTAACATCTTCATCCTTCAAGGTCTTCTTCTCCTTCTTCACCCTGCTGCGGTTTCTTCTTTCCATGTCTTTGGTTCAGTTTCCGGCACTTTTAGAGATGAATCACCTACAATACAAAAAGAAGCCGGTGCTCTTCTAAAGTGGAAGGCCAGTTGATAATCAAAGTCGGTCTTTCCTCTCTTCCTGGGATGGAATGGCCCTTGTAACTGGACTGGGATCATTTGTGGAACTCTAGAAGGGTAGCCAGTTAACCTTTCAAGTTCCAGCTAAAAGGTACACTTCATGGTTTTAGCTTCTCTGCTTTCCCCGAACTTACTGTTCTTGATCTAAGCTACAATTATCTCAATGGAACCATTCCATCAGATGTCGGTACCCTATCTAGATTAAATACCTGGACTTGTCTTCCAATTATCTTTCTGGAATATTCCATTTGAAATAGGAAATTTAAGCTCTATTTCAGAGCTTTACCTGTTTGAAAACACCCAACAGGTTCGATCCCCCCTTCTATTGGAAATTTAACCGACTTATTTCAACTTGTCTTTTTGAAAATAAAATTTCGGGGTCCATACCAAAAGAAATCGGAATGCTAGGTTCCCTTTCATGGCTTTATTTGTTCAATAGTATTTCCGGTGAAATTCCTGCTTCTATTGGAAACTTAACCAACTTATCTCATCTTCACCTTTTTACAATAAAATCTCGGGTCCATACCGAAAGAAATTGGAATGATGAGTTCCCTTACAGAGCTTTATTTGTCCAATAATAGTATTACCGGTAAAATCCCTGTTCTATTGGAAACTCAACCAACTTGTCTTTTCTTGAACTTTTCGACAATAAAAATCGGGGTCCATGCCTAAAGAAATTGGGATGCTAGGTTCTCTTACAGAGCTTTGTTTGAACAACAATAATCTTACCGGTGAAATTCCCGCTTCTATTGGAAACTTGACGGGCTGGTTGTCTTTTCTTATACAAAAACAAGTTTTCTGGTTCTGTGCCTCAACAAATTGGAATGTTGAAGTCCTTGAATAAACTTGATCTCTCTGATAATAATTTGGTCGGTTCTCTCCCCCTCTCTGTTGGAAACTGACCAATTATCCTTCCTAAGCCTTTTTAATAATACAATTTCAGGCTCCATACCAAAAGAAATTGGAATGCTAAGTTCCGTTGAAGTGCTTCATCTGTACAATAATAGTTTTACTGGTGAAATCCCTGCTTCAATAGGAAACTTGACCAAAGTATTTTATCTTTATCTTGGCGGTAATAACATTCATGGTTCAATTCCGCAAGAGGTCGGAGAAGAATGAGATCTCTCACTGACCTTTACTTGTCAGAAGCAAATCTCTCGGGTTTAATCCCTGCTTCTATAGGAAACTTGAAAAATCTGATATATCTTCACCTTTTCTCCAATGCGCTGTCAGGATTTATTCCTTCCAGTATCGGAAACTTGACCAATCTCATTGAATTGGTACTGGATCGCAATAAATTAGCGGGCTCAATTCCTCGGGAACTTGGTAAGCTCCAGTCCCTTGGTGACTTAAGGTTGTTCAGCAACAGTCTCAGTGGTTTCATTCCGGCAGAGATGAACAATCTTACAAGTTTGAAACATTTTGAATTATCTGATAACTACTTGATTGGCCATTTACCACAACAGGTGTGCCTTGGCGGAGTACTTGAACATTTTAAAGCAGAAAACAACTATCTCACGGGTCCAATCCCCAAGACCTTGAAGAACTGTACTAGCTTATATAGAGTTCGGCTTGAACGCAATCAACTTACTGGGAATGTATCTGAAGATTTAGGTATATATCCGAACCTAAACTATCTTGATCTGAGTGATAATAAATTGACTGGTGAGATATCATCAAAATGGGGTCAGTGCCACAAGCTAACAAGCCTAAGGATCTCGAACAATAATATCACCGGTGAGATCCCTCAGAACTTGGAAAGGCAACTCAGCTACAATCATGTGACCTCTCTTCAAATCATCTAACTGGGGGCATTCCAAAGGAACTGGAGAGCTAAAATTGTTGTTCAACCTTGTGTTGAATGATAATCATCTTTCAGGCAGTATTCCTCCACAAATCGGATTGCTATCTGGTCTTGTTAGTCTTAACTTGGCAGCAAACAAGTTAATGGATCCATTCCTAAAAGTTTGAGTCAGTGTGAGAAACTTTTGGAACTGAATTTGAGTGTCAACAGATTGAGTGGAGGAATTCCGTTTGAGGTTGGCGGTTTATCTTTTCTTCAAGTTCTTGATATCAGTCATAATTTGCTGACAAGTAAAATACCGGAGCAAGTTGGGAACTTTAAATCTTTAGAAAAGCTGAACATATCTAACAATATGCTCTTCGGTTTTATTCCCTCAACTTTTCATGATATGTTGAGCTTAACATCTGTTGATGTATCCTGCAATCAGTTGGAGGGTCCTCTTCCAGACAACAAGGCCTTTCGAGAGGCTTCATTTCTGTTCAGAAACAACAAAGGCTTGTGCGGAAATATCAAAGGTTGGAAGCATGTTCTTCAATTTAAACCATAATGTTGATCGAAAAAGAATAGCAAAATTGTGATTGCATCTATAATCCCTATTTTATGCACACTACTACTTGTATTTGTTGTCTTTGCGATTCTTTCTTCTTCAACGAAGAGAGAGGAAGATCGACAACAAGCCAAGGATAGTAGTAAGTGATAACATGTTTGCAATTTGCAACTATGATGGAAAAGTGATGTACGAAAGCATAGTTGAAGCAACTGAAGAGTTTGACTCCAAATACTGCATTGGAGTTGGGGGATATGGCAGCGTTTACAAGGCACAATTGTCGAATGGTCAAATGTTTGCTGTGAAAAAGCTTCACCCACTTCCGGAAGGTGGGGTGGCAGATCAAAAGCTTTTAACATGAGATTCAGGCCTTAACTGAAATACGCCATCGGAACATTGTGAAACTTCATGGTTTCTGTTCGCATCCCGACACTCAATTTTGGTATATGAGTTCTTAGAAGGAGGAAGCCTGGAGAAGTTACTAAGGAATGATGAACAAGCAATGGAATTTGATTGGATAAGAGAGTAAATGTTGTTAAAGGCATAGCTAATGCTGTGTCCTATATGCACCATGACTGCTCCCCTCCTATAGTCCATCGTGACATTTCAAGCAAGAACATTCTGCTAGATTCAGACTATGAGGCTCATGTTGCAGACTTTGGCGCTGCCCGGTTGCTAAATCCTGACTCCTCCAATTGGACCCAATTTGGAGGCACTCTTGGTTACTCGGCTCCAGGTATTTTTTCTTTTGTTTCTTTACATCCCTTTTTTTCTCTTTAGCTGTAAATGTTCTGAATTTCGTTGAAGTAAACTGTTCAATACTAGCTAAAGTCGTACTCATGCACTTGAGCTCGCCTTTTCTTTGTAGAGCTTGCGTATGCTATGCAAGTGAATGAAAAATGTGATGTCTTTAGCTTTGGAGTGGTGACATTGGAAATACTTATGGGAAGGCACCCTGGGGATCTAATATATTTCCTGTCATCATCATTTTCTTCGCTCTCACCATCATGTTCATCATCGGCGTCATTCGGTAATTTACTACTGAAAGATCTGTTAGACCAGCGTCTTCCATCTCCTAGGAAACGAACAGCAGCGGCAGTGGTCACAGTTGTAAAACTAATATCTCAATGCTTACATGCCAGTCCACAATCTCGACCAACAATGCAACAAGTTTCTCAGGAGCTGTCAACTCGGAATCCACCCTCAGTTATGCAGTTTCACACAATAATATTTAGCCAACTGCTTGACTCCAGCATTAGCGCAGATTCTGCATTTCCTTGATTTCCCATGCTTTCATCACTTGTTTTTTTCCAATTAGTTTGTACTATTTTATGCTCTCCTTTTGAGCTTGCCGACCAGAGAATGCTTTCCAAGTTTAAAGGGCAAGTCCCAAGTGGTTGTGTCTGAATCTTGGATACATCGAACTAAATATATAAATAAATAAATTAGCATAGGCAGATTAGATATATGAATTGATAATTTCTTTTATTTTCCTTAAGGAAATTTTTGAATTCTTTCTTGACAGAATGGAAGGGATAAACAGAGAACTATTATGCTTGTAAATACATGGATACTTCCAATTCTAGAAGAAATTGCCAAGGAACCTTTATGGAGAAGGTTAAGAAAATTAACAGTTTCATTGTTCAAAGATTCAAAACTGAAACCAAATGGCAACCAGTTGATGTCGTGCGTTTCTGATTCTATATTGGGTAATTTGAACATCCTTGTAGTGAAACAAAACTAGCAATTTTCCTTAAGTTGCAATAGCAGATCAATCAATCTTCACAGACGAGTAGATGAGCCTTGTGAACCAGAAGCAAGCATAGAAACCGATTGTACCAGTGAGGACGAAGAATGCGTACGATACTATCAACATATAACCAAAGTATAAAACCCCCAGATACTGGTTTTGTGATCTCAAGCTTTGTAAAGAAGTAGAAAGCAGCATAGAGGAATAAGTAAAGTGCTGAAGAACCCGAAGTCAAGTATGACCTCCACCACCATTGGTAATCCTCACTGCATAGCTGGAAGTAGCAGAGTACTACTGTGATCTCGGCACAAGTGACAATAATAATGACAAAGACAATGAAGAGGAAGCCAAATATGTAATAGAACTGATGCAACCATATTGAAGTGAGGATGAAAAAGAGCTCAATAAAAACAGCCCCGAATGGAAGTATGCCCCCAATTAGGATGGAGAAGGCTGGGTTCATGTACCAAGCCTGTTCTGGAATTTGCCTCGGGATCTTATTAGTTTTCACTGGATCCTTGATTGTTGGCTTCTTAAAACCAAAATAACTACCCACATAAACAAGCGGGACTGAGATGCCAAACCACAACAATACCAATGCAAACATGGTTCCAAATGGCACTGCCCCGGAAGACTTCTGGCCCCATATTAGAGCATTCAGGACAAAGAAAATGGAAAACACTGTTGCAGGGAACATAAATGCTGTTTTGAGTGCAACTTTCTTCCATTTGGTTCCCTTGAACAGCTTATAGAGACGAGCTGAGGAATATCCAGCAAACAGGCCCATGAAGACCCAGAGTAGAAGCATGGCTGTTATTAACCCACCCCTATTTGAGGGGGATAGGAAGCCAAGGAGAGCAAAGATCATGGTAACAATAATCATACCACAAAATTGAACCCCTGTTCCAACATACACACAGAGTAAGTCAGAATTTGTTGGAGGCCTAAAAACATCCCCATGGACCAGCTTCCACCCTGTCTCCTCTTGTGCTTCTTCTTGAGTTTCGAGTTGGTTGTACTTGGAGATATATCCCGATAAAGAGTTCGTAGCATGATCATTGCCACCATACCCGAGAGGAAAATTACAATTATCAAAGAATTAACAATTGAGAACCAATGGATCTGATCATCAGCCATTAGAAGATAGGTATCCCATCGGGATGCCCACTTTATATCACTTTCCTGCAAGATGAAAACAAGCAGCTTGTTGATTAGAATGAAATAACACCATAGACACTAGCCAAACTGTAACAAGCAGCAAGGTATTGCTGACCTGGAACTCAACATCATATGTAAATATGATCTCCTTATTTTGTTCAACCTCTTGAGGAGATTCAGAACTAGTAACTGCACGTTTTGCATGGGGATCACAAGTTGTCAGACGAGTCTTCTCATTCCACTCACCCTCATATTCATGTTTAACACTGTGCGTATCAAAACGGCTTGTAAGAAAAGTAGAAAACGAAACCAGTGGTAAAAGTAGGTAATACATATGCCTCAATCATAAACAATATATTTTTTTACCTGAATGGTTTGACCTCAAATCCAACAATCCTTGCAGAGTCTGACAATGGATCCTTGTGATATTTGACTGTAAATGTCAAGTGATTGTTTATAAAATGTTTTTCTTCCTTGCTCTGCAAGAAACCAAATCAGCATTGCTTTCATTATCAAATGGAAATATAATAAAAAATTTCTAAACAGATGCTGACCAATCTAGAACTTACCCCCGCATACTGTCCTCTGAGACCAACATGATATCCATACTGATACACTACAGCATTTTCCTGATTGGGAAATCTTATGGGAACAACCAATGGAAGGTTATCCAAAATCCTGTCACAAACATATCATAAATATCAGTTACTACTCAAAAGAACAAATGGAAACTACAATTAAGATATCCAGAGTGAGATCCTCACATGTTAACTCGATACTCATCATCAATCTTCTCCTTGAATGCCTTTGCAGCTTTTTTATCAAGAATTTTACGACATACAATGTTGCACATTTGTGGTTCTCTCATTTTAAACTGCAAACAGAAAATCCATCTCAAACACTAAAAAACAAAGTACAGAAAAGAGATACAAGTGATTTTGGAGTCCAAACTCACCACGTAAGGAGAGTTTTCAATTCGATCACCGCGAAGGACTTCCCCAAGATTCTCGGCACTGTCAACTATATGCTCAGGCTGACAAAAGGGTAGGAAATAATAGGAATAAGGAAGTTGTGTTTTTGTTGAAGTCAGCTTATTCACTTTCACCAACAATATATCCCCCTGCATAAATGGAGGGAAAATAACATTGAACAAAATTACATTAGACCATCAGTTTGGTTAAAGCAAAGAGCCCGTAGATTGATTATTGAGCATGGAATATTCAGTAAGCTGTAATCAACATTCAAATTTCATAAATAGTCTTCAAATCCTATGCCAAATAGGCCAAAGAACTTGTGGTATTGATAAAAACAAAATTAGGCAGCTTTAAACCAAGGAAAACACAAACTTGAAGCTTATCGATCTTAACTTCCAAAGACTCGTCGTATCCAATTTCATTAAACCGAAACGGTGATTCTAGAGATCATTAAACGCAGATCTAAATGAAACACAATAACAGAATGGAGAATGCAAGTGAACCCAAAGATCCAAATCCAATATACATGATAATGCATGCATTAACATACATGCATGGCCCATGCATGCATGTGATGAAACTGACCTTTTGGAAATCTTCAGGGGCAACACCAGGAAGGTAGAAACAATGGGCTCGAAGGAAGAAGAGAGCTAACAAAGAGAAAATCCATGCGACGTTAAACTTAAGGCCCGCCATGGGTTTTAACCGGATTTAGATCCGTCGCCCGGATTCCCACTTTCCAGAGAAACTACAATGAAAAAAAAACCTTGCCGAGTTAAAATTTCTTGTTTGTGAAGGAAGAATGAAGAGAAAAAAGAGAAGAAAAAGGGTGGTTTGTTGGTAAACACGAGAAATGAATCCCTGGGGAGAGAAGTCTGAAACTATACGTTTATAGAGAGAACCCTCCCTCTCCTAGCCATCAACGGTTGGATTTAAATTCTCTGATTATCGATTTACGGTCTCGATTTTCATCAGGTTACCTTGACGGTGATTCTCTTTGAACAGTTGGGTAATAACTTCTTTCTTCGTTGTTAGATTTTTAATTCTCTAATTTTCATTGGT